CAGGACCCGCCTCTAATGCCCCTAAGCATAATCTCCCCTGCTGGCCCCTTGTGGACATGCGCCAGGAAAACTCTCTCAAAAAGCTTCCCCAGGATCGAGGTAAGACCAACTGGTTTATAGTTTCCTGGGTCCTCCTTCCTCCCTTTTTGAAAATGGGAACCACATTGGTTCTTTTCCAGTTGAAAAGCCACTTCAGGGGTCCTGCAATGACCTCTACTAATTCCCTCAGCACTCTGGGGTGGAGATCGTCAGGACCTGCTGATTTAAATACGTCCAGTCCCTCCAGAAGTTCCCTGACTAGGTCCTCACTGACCCTAAGCCTGGGTGCACCTCCCCTGGGACCTATGGGGATCCTGGGGCGGGGGGAGGGCAGGGGTGACCCGGTGCCTGCTCAGAAAAATGGAGGCAAAGAAATTGTTAAATAAGATGACCCTCCCATAATTGTTAAATAAGATGATCTTCCCATAATTAGATTCTATATATGGAAAATTATAACAAACTTTATAATTTTTCCATGTATAGGATCAAATTTGGGGGGTGGGGGAAGTCATCTTAAATTCAGAGTTGTCTTGGATTTGGTTAAATATGGTAGTTAATGCCATTCAAAAGGGGCTGGGTAGTCTTATAGCTAATTTTTACTTTTAAGACCTGAATTGGGATCTGATTTATCATTTCCATTTCTGTTTCCAAAAGAAAATGGGGGGAGAGAACAGCTTTAAAGAATCCCTTCTTTTTAGCCACTAAGGCTGCTTTCAAACTTAACCCCACCCCCACCTCCACAAAGTGTGCTCTATCAGAAGCAGCAGCGCATTACTTTGACCTGCCTTTGCAGTATCCATATAGATCGGGTACATCAGTGGGGCTTTTTGGCACTTTTAGTTATAGCTGACTCAATCACCTATTAGATAAAAGTGCCAAAAAACCCACTGAAGTGCCCAATTTATACAGACATCAGGCAAGCCAGGTCTAACAAACACCCTGCCTCTTCTGGGCATGCACTGGGCTTAGCATGGGAGTGCGCCCAGTTTAAAGTAAAGCACCACTTCTCTTTTTTTTTTTTTTAACATCTGTGAGCAGCCTAATGGACAGATCCTGTTTAGCCTTCATATACTTAAGTGTTGGATACGTAGCCACTTAGCTGCAGGTTTTGGCAGTTAAGCACAGTTCAGGATTACATTTCCCCCTGTGGTGGAACAGGATCACCCTTCACTCCTACCTACCCACGGTAACATGGACTTTTTTTAGCCCAGCAGCCTAGGGCACTTGCCCAGGGAGCAGGAGAGTGGGTTCTAGGTCTCCCATGCTTAGACGGAATTCAAACCAAGGTCTAGTGCTTCCTAGCAAAGAGTCTACTCACTCTCCCCCCTGTAGCCTGCTTCAGAGAGAAAGAGTCGTTTCCTTCTAAAGTCTTGCTAGCAGATGAGGGCTATTAGATTAACTTTAATGGAAAACAATGTTTGCACTCTGACTATAGCTGCTGAGCTCTCAAAATCACTGTACAATTTTTCAACATATATATAGTTTACAGACAAACTGGGAATTATTTTCCAACTTCTAATTAAATCTGTTGAAGGAAGAGGGCAGATTAGGCAAGCTAGAGGAAGAAGATACACTATGTACTGACTTCAGCTGCTATCCAAAGATTAAACTTCTTAATTTATAATAGCCTTATACTTCAGAGAACAGACAATACTGATTTCATAATTTTACACTTAATTACCAATAATGCTTATTTACCTGTCGTCTTCCAAGTTCTATGCTTCTGTCAAGTTCCATTTTAGCAGCTACCAATTCTTGTTGATGATTATGCCTTAGCTGGTCAATTGCTGCTGCGTGTTGATGATTTAGCTCTGAGCGCAAGGAAGCTGGTAATCATAAATAATAATAAAAGTTTGTTTTGTAATCAGTATCATTAAGATAATGGTCCAGATTTGATAAAATTTTGCTGCTATGTAATACATAGAAAGGAAGAAAATTATTCCTATAAATTAACCTATTACATTTATGCTGAACTTGTCTAGGTGATTTATGGTCTACAACCCTCCATTTCATGCAAAGTCAGATTTATTCAAGACTAGAATGGGAGATACCAAATGAAAACCTGAGATACCCACAGCATGTTGTACTCATGATTCAGTACTCTTGGGCTAAGTACAGATAGACAAAAGACTCAAGGCTGAATTTGATTAAATCTTTCCCAGTTAGTCTGAGCTGCATAGATTGAACCAACAAACAAGTGAACAGACATTTATTTTTGACTAGCCAACTGCCTGTCAAGAATGATGTCCAGTCCTCAGCACGGCTTTGGAATCATGGCGGTACTCCCCCGCACTTGGAACACTCTGATTGGCTGTATCCGTCAGCCAATCAGAGTGCAAATAAAGTTTCATAATTGGTAGGGTTGGAAGGGGCCTGAGCAGATCATCAAGTCTGACCCCCTGCCATGACAGGAAAGAGTACGGGGGTCAAACGACCCCAGCAAGGTGTTCATCTAGCCTCCTCTTAAAGACCCCGGGGTAGGAGCCAGCACCACTTCTCTTGGAGGTTGGGTCCAGTTCCTAGCCGCCCTGACAGTGAAGTAGCGCCTACTGATATCTAGCCTGAATCTACCCTCTGCCAGCTTGTGACTGTTATTCCTAGTCACTCCTGGCAGTGCTCGGGGGAACAGGGATTCTCCCAATGCCTGCTGGTCCCCTCTGACTAGTTTGTAACAGGCCACTAGATCCCTGCTCAGCCTTCTCTTGTGCAGGCTGAACAGGTTCAGGTCCC